TGGGGAGGGGTCTGGAGCGAGGCCCGCTGAATACTGGCTCTTTGCCCGCGCGTGGCGAGGCACACGAAGATCAAAAAAATATTCATCCCAGCTGGTAGTGGAGGGCGCTTGGGTCTATTTGAGACCTGAGGCTGCGGAGGTGACGCCTTTGAGACATCGTGGCATACTCGTGCAACAACCCTACTACAAGCTGACGAGCGACAACGATGGGGAGCCTTCCGCTGGGCCAGCAACGGAGCAGGGCGGAGCCGGAGGCAGAGAGCAGAGTGTAGACAGTAGAGCGGGCTAGAGTATTGTACTCTAGCTCTGAGTCCTGCTGGTGTCTCCTCTTGATAGTGTCATAAGTGTGGCTGGTGTGTGTCAGAGCCTGACAGCGCCGCCCGACAGCACCATCGGACAGCACCTGACAGCAACAGCCAACGTCTGATAGCAGCAGCAGCCTGACAGCTCCGACAGCTCCGACAGCGTCTGACCCAGCAACACCCGACAGCTCCGACAGCACCCGACAGCTACAGAGCCCCTCGACTGTCAGACACGCACCCGACAGCACCCGACAGCACTTACAGCACCTGACAGCTGGTCTGACAGAGGCACCTGACAGTGCCTGACAGCTGCCCGACAGCCCGACAGATCACCTGACAGCACCTGACAGCCTGACAGCCAGGGCTCAGCCCGAGACGTGAGACAGAACCACGTGCTGTGCGACTGCAAACTACTCATGCTGCGAAGTCCAAGTCGGCCTCCTGGCGAGGGCTACCCCTCTCGATCTCTCGCACCAGCCGCTCCAGCACACCCAGCGCCGCCGCAGGCGCGTCGAGCGGCACCATGTGGCCCGCGCCGTCGATCTGGTACCAGGACAGCCCGCCGCTCGCCTTCCACTGCCCAATCTCCGCGCCGAGCAGCCGCAGCGGCGCCATCGTTGCGGATCGGAATGTGGCGGCGCCCGACCACGGCAAGTGATCCGCGGTGGCGAGGCCCTGCACAAAGTCGCAGACCGAGTCCTGCTTGCCGTACAGCAGCGCCACCTTGACGCCTCGGTCCAGGCTGCGGCCGAGCGCCTCCGAGTGGCCGTCGCCGACTGAGTCGTCGCTGAAGCCCGGCATGCGGATGCAGCCCGCCGCAGAGCCGGCGAAGGCACCGCGGCCCGCGTCTCCACAGACGTGAAGCGCCCGCCTCACCTCGTCCGTCAGGAACCAGCTGCTCCACGCGGTATAGTTGTACTGCACGCAGGCGGGGCACGCCAGCGCGCGCACGCGGTAGTCGTAACCGTTTGGCGTGTAACCGAGGTACTGCGCCGCCTCGCCCAGCAGCTGAGACCGCACACGCCAGCTGTACTCGTTCTCCCACGGCGCGCGCTGCGACGCCGCCCGCCCGGGCGGCAGCAGGTGGGCCTGCGAGAGGAAGGCCTCGAAGTTGTCGTTGCTGGCGAAGCGCTGGTTGATCTTGCCGTTCCCGATCAGCAAGCCGCGGAGCCGGATCCGCTCCTCTGCCGCCGCGCCGTCGTTGTGCGCCAGAATGGCGTCCGACCATGCGGGGACGTAGTGCCCGCCGTAGCTCTCCGACGCGAGGATGACGTCGGCCTGCGCGTGCTCTGGGAAGAGGCGGAGCCAGCCGATCAGAAACGCCACCATGTCTTGGCCGGCCTGCGCAGAGCTTGTGACGTGCGGGCCAGAGCCGAACGAGTAGCCGACGTACCTGGGCTGGTCGACGAAGAGCAAACTCGCGTGTGCGCTCCACGCGAACGCGTTGTCCGACAGCTGCCCCGTCGCACTCGCCCAGCCGCGCTTGATGTCGAACAGCCGCAGCGGGCTGATCTCTGTCGTCGCGCCCTCCATCGCCGAGCAGCCTGGCCCGCCGTTGGACCAGACGAGCAGCGGCTTGGGCGTGCGCGAGCCGGTGTTGTCGGCGCGAAAGTACCAGTAAAAGAGCCAGTCGGTGGGAGTGACGTTGACATAGCCGCTGTAGCTGCCCGGCCTGCCGCCCTGCCGCTGCGTCCGCCTTGCCCACTCACTCCGCCCCACCAGCCGTTCCGGGAAAGACACCGCGGCCTTCGGAGTGGGTCGGTCGCATCGCGGCGGCGGCGGCGGCTCGCTTTCCCACGGCCATGTCCACCCTCCGCCCACGAAGCTGTCGATCTCACGGCTGGACGCGGGGACGATGCCGGCGGCGGCGGCGGTTGCGGCGGCGGCGGCGGTGGCGGCGGTGTCGGCGGCAGCGGCAACGGTGTCGGTGGCCTCGTCTCGCTCGTCACCGTCGAGTCCATCGAGAAGCAGTGCCTTTTCGAGTGCGTCGCGCGTCGTCGCGGATCGAGAGGCAAACGGGCCCAGCGCCTGTGCTCCGAGAGACGCGCCTACAGCCTAGCGTGGCTCTTTCTCAGTCCATTCCTCCTTTGCAGTGGGGACTGCGTCGAGCGACGTGCCGGCCGTCTCGAGGTGCGTCTCGGCCTTCTCGAAGGCGGACTCGGCTTCAGCGAGGCTTGCGTCGGCGTCCTCCTTGCCGTACACCCACCCCACCTGCCACAAGACCCACACCCACTTGGTCAAAGACAAGGCGCCGCTCGTATCGGTGCTGCGCGGAGTCGGCGGCTCGACGCCGTCCCGCCTCCTCAGCAGCGTGTCGGGATTTGCTCGAGAGAATCGCGCCGTCAGCGGATCGGCGTGAGCAGCGGGCGGCGCCGGATCGGCCACCTCCTCTGCGCCACCTTCGAAAAAGCCAAAGAGCCGGCTAGGCTGGCGTGCGGCGAGGAGGAGGAGGCCGAGACAGGCGGCGGAGACGAGGAGGAGGCCGACACGGGCGGCGGAGCCGAGGAGCCGACGGCGAGCCGAACGGTGAGACTGCGGAGAGGTGTGCATCGCCGTCCTTGGCGACCGGGTCCCCCCCGGGGCCGGGGGGGTGAATGAGCCGTGCACAGATTCGCTGACGTCCCTTTTTTGATCGAAGACAGGCAGCCTGTGCCTTTTGGTGTACCCCGTTTGTACCGCGTCCTGTGCCCCCGAGTTCATTTAATAAACCCTCGCCCGAGGCGTGCGAGCCCCGCAGAGGTGCGGGCGAGAGGGCGGCCCGAGCCCGAAAGGGCCCGCCCTCGGCGTTGCTCTACATGGTAACGGATGAGAAGAGAAACACCCCCGGACTGGGACGCCGGCAGTCGAGTCGGGACACGCTGTGGTTCAGACGTCCCCCCCCTCGACGCAGTCGAGTGACTGACATGAACAGGGAGGAGAAAGTGTCCCCACATATCACCACAGACGCAGCACAGGGGCTCCAATCCTGTCCCAGTCTGGGGGGCCTCGCTAGATCTCCAGTGGGGAGTGCGAGGGCTGGATCGACTGCAGCGAGAGTGTGGGTTGTGGACCGTCGGGATAGCGTGTGGCGTAGATGTTCTCCTGGAAGTAGAGAGGCCGATGTCTCTCGCCCTGCAGGAAGGAGAAACTCGGATGGTTGAGTGAAAACTCCTCCCTGCGGTATGTGCGCAGAACGGGTTGCGCTTTGTGCAGCACCGTGTTGAGGGCTCGGGAGGGCAACGACGGCGGCGTTGCCGAGCTCGTACAGGGGCCTCAATCCTGTCCCTGATGGGGTGCGCCTCTCGCCGCGCGCGTAGCAGTCGGCGCGCGGGTAGCCTCAGAGATGCGCAGAGCGAGATGCGGTTATCGGCGAACCAAGCCCTGGGCTTGGATAGGGCGCGGCGTAGCCGCGGCGCAGTGGATAGCGTGAAGAGCCCACTCTCACTGTCGTGAGCAGACCGCCGCTACCACGTGCGAGCCCCGCAGAGGTGCGGGCGAGAGGGCGGCCCGAGCCCGAAAGGGCCCGCCCTCGGCGTTGCTCTACATGGTAACGGATGAGAAGAGAAACACCCCCGGACTGGGACGCCGGCAGTCGAGTCGGGACACGCTGTGGTTCAGACGCGAGGGGCTGCCCGCATCTCTTTGATTTGTGAGTGTTGTGAGGTGATGCGAGCGCGCGTGCGCGCGGCGCGCGTGCCGTTTTGGGTCTTTTATACCAGTGATGAAATATAAAACAAAACTACTACTGAAATATCAACCGACTTACCCCACGCGCGCACGCGCGCGCCGCGCTCCTCGACTCTCTCGCACCCGCCCCGACCCACGCCCCTCCCTCACGAGATCGGCGGCTGCGACCCTGAGAGTGCGCAGCGGTGCCGCTGGCGTGCTCACCACACCCGGTTATCATGCCTGCATCATTCCTGCACGCACTGCCTGGTCTGGTCGGGGCGTGGGGCGAGATCTGGCATGGCGGCGCGCTTGAACTGAGCGCCTTCGATCGTCTCGCGGCGACAGCTCGCAGGCCGGGCGGCCAGAAACTGTGCCGCTCAGCCATCCGCCGAAGCGAGCGCGCCGGCGGCGGTCCGCCGCCGGCGCGCTCGACTCAGTGTCTTCAAGCCCCCGGTGGGGAGCTCCGCTTGCGGGCAACGATTGAACATGCGGGCAGCCTCGCTGTCCGTGAATCAAGCACTCTTCACGGACGGTTTGATTGTGGAAACACCCAATCTGTGCACTCCTTATTTGCAAGACGGGGGAGAAAATGGTGCGCGGCTAGGGTTGCGCAGCTATGAACAGGAGCGAGTTCGCGCTGCGCTAGGCTCAGACGGCGAGTTCGCGCTGCGCTAGGCTCAGACGGCGAGTTCGCGCTGCGCTACGGGGGCCAAAAACCCGGCGACGACGGCGCTCTGGATGGGGCGTGACCTCCTGCCTCCAACCTCCTTCCTTTTTTGAGCAGGTGTGCCGCCGCGCGAGCGACGCTCCGCCGAGATCGCCCGAGATAGCGCGGCGCGGCCCCGAGTGCCGAGATCGCCCGAGATAGCGCGAGATCGTCCGAGATCGCGCGGCGCGGCCCGAGGCGAGGTGGATGGGTTGAGAGCAAGGGGGCGGAAGTGATCAGTGCGGTAGAGGGTCAGGTCGGGGCGCGTGAGCCGGACTTGTGAGCCGGACGGCTTTCATTTCTCTCTGCGTTCTTGCACATGGAGTGCAAGATACTCGTTCTGTTGCCGTCCCAAGCTGTCACTCCCCTTTCTCCCGGCCAGGGTGGAGCGCGCGCGGGGGGCGGCGCGGGTGTGCGGGATGTCTGTGGTCCCGAGAGCGATATGCCATGTCCGCCTTTGTTTCATACCATCGAAGGCTAAGCTCAAAGAATTCTTAAAAATACTTGAGCCATTGAAGGCGCCCGAGGGGACCCCGCAATTCCCTTCCCCCCTCGGAGGGGGCCGGACGAGGCGTACCCCGAGGGCCCCACTCTTTCCTTCGCATAGCGGCCACTCTTCGGATCGCTGGTCGAGCGACCCGGGGGATGCCCCGCGCGCCTGACCCAGGCGCGAAAACGAATCTGCGAGGCGTGGCCGCTCACGCGGCCCGATGGGGAGGAACGGGGCGAACCCCCTCCAACCCACCCGCGCTAGGTCTCGGGCGGCGAAGGGGTCACTCCCGACGACCTCGGGAACTAGCCGGGGCAGTCGGAGAAGTGGCAACTCCGTGCACTGACGGTCGGCCGTCAGAAAACACGCCTCCGTGGCTCGGGTTACACCAATCCTCGCTACCCAACGCGGCCAAAGGATATCCACCTCGAGAACCTCGAGAGAGAAGGAATTTTAAGAAAAAGCGAATTGAAGTTGCAGTCTCGGCAATCTTGTGCAACCCTCTGTTGCGCTCTCCCTTTGTGTGGCGTCTCTCGCCGCGGATAAAGCTGCACGCAGCGGCGACTTTGCGTCACCCTCGATGTCGCGCCAGGTCGTCCACGGCACCCGCCGTTCGTGGCTCATCGAGTCGGACCTCGCGAGACGAGCGCCCTCACAACACCGAGCTTCGAGCTCCACGCGCGACAGCCGGTGGAGTGGCGGCGGTGGTCCCGGATCCGACTGTGCGAGCGATAGTGATCACGAAGACCCGTTTTCCGGCTCGCCGTCCGACGAGATGGCGCTCGGCGGTTGGGGCGCCTCGGCGGTTGGAAGAGCCGCTCCCGCCGCCGCCGGCCGTGGCTGGGCCTCCATCTTTGAGCCGTGTCCGGCGGCGGCGGCGGCAGTGACGTGCAGCAGCCCTTGCGGGCTCTGCTCGGCGCCGCTCGATAGACAGGCGGACTGGCCGCGGCCGGACGCAGGGCTCGGCAAGCTCGACCGCACCGACCGCCGCTCGCCTCCCGCCCGCCGTCCCGCCTCGGGCGTCTGGGCGAGGTGCGAGTCTCTCCCGAGAGACCCTTCGACGTTCGAGTAGCCTCCTCGCGGCTAGCCGCTCAAGGGGATGTGGCGGCAGCGGCCCTCGCCGCGCCTCCCGCCACCGCACCACCCCATCCCCCCCTCACCCCTCCCCCTCCTCCCTCCAGGGCGTCTGATGGCGGGAGGATGGTGAGGGCGGTCTCGTCGCCCATGATGGCGGGGCTAGGATAGGAGAGGGCGGCGGGGCGCGCGTGCAGACGGCGGGTGGCGGCTCCACGATGGAACGGGGGTGTTTAGTCGATGCAACTGAGCAGACCTGACATGGAAAGTCGATGCAACCCTCTGGTGCATGGTTTAGATCTTGCAGATGCTTGCTTTGCATCAGATTCCGCCTGTTTAGCATTGCTTTTGCGCACAATATCCGTATAGCGTATTTCGGTCGGCAGAGGCGTTTTTGTGGCGGTCTGTCAGTCGCTGCTGATAGCCGATTTATTTATAATCGCGAGCGGTGTCTCGCGGGTCGTTTTCGAGGGGCCCAGCCTGGCTAGCCAGATCCGCCTGGGCGCATCCAGTCTTGCTTTTGCGCACCCTAGTCTTATTTTGGTCGACACAGGCGTTTTCGCGCGGTCTGCCAGTTGCTGCTGATAGCCGATTTATTTATAATCGCGAGCGGTGTCTCGCGGGTCGTTTGTGAGGGGCCCAGCCTGGCTAGCCAGATCCGCCTGGGCGCATCCAGTCTTGCTTTTGCGCACCCTAGCCTTATTTTGGTCGACACAGGCGTTTTCGCGCGGTCTGCCAGTTGCTGCTCATAGCCGATTTGTTTATAATCGCGAGCGGTGTCTCGCGGGTCGTTTTCGAGGGGCCTAGCCTGGCTAGCCAGATCCGCCTGGGCGCATCCAGTCTTGCTTTTGCGCACCCTAGCCTTATTTTGGTCGACACAGGCGTTTTCGCGCGGTCTGCCAGTTGCTGCTGATAGCCGATTTGTTTATAATCGCGAGCGGTGTCTCGCGGGTCGTTTGCGAGGGGCCCAGCCTGGCTAGCCAGATCCGCCTGGGCGCATCCAGTCTTGCTTTTGCGCACCCTAGCCTTATTTTGGTCGACACAGGCGTTTTCGCGCGGTCTGCCAGTTGCTGCTCATAGCCGATTTGTTTATAATCGCGAGCGGTGTCTCGCGGGTCGTTTGCGAGGGGCCCAGCCTGGCTAGCCAGATCCGCCTGGGCGCATCCAGTCTTGCTTTTGCGCACCCTAGCCTTATTTTGGTCGACAGAGGCGTTTTTGTGCGGTCTGCCAGTCGCTGCTGATAGCCGATTTGTTTATAATCGCGAGCGGTGTCTCGCGGGTCGTTTGCGAGGGGCCCAGCCTGGCTAGCCAGATCCGCCTGGGCGCATCCAGTCTTGCTTTTGCGCACCCTAGCCTTATTTTGGTCGACACAGGCGTTTTCGCGCGGTCTGCCAGTCGCTGCTGATAGCCGATTTATTTATAATCGCGAGCGGTGTCTCGCGGGTCGTTTTCGAGGGGCCCAGCCTGGCTAGCCAGATCCGCCTGGGCGCATCCAGTCTTGCTTTTGCGCACCCTAGCCTTATTTTGGTCGACACAGGCGTTTTCGCGCGGTCTGCCAGTTGCTGCTCATAGCCGATTTGTTTATAATCGCGAGCGGTGTCTCGCGGGTCGTTTGCGAGGGGCCCAGCCTGGCTAGCCAGATCCGCCTGGGCGCATCCAGTCTTGCTTTTGCGCACCCTAGCCTTATTTTGGTCGACACAGGCGTTTTCGCGCGGTCTGCCAGTTGCTGCTCATAGCCGATTTGTTTATAATCGCGAGCGGTGTCTCGCGGGTCGTTTGCGAGGGGCCCAGCCTGGCTAGCCAGATCCGCCTGGGCGCATCCAGTCTTGCTTTTGCGCACCCTAGCCTTATTTTGGTCGACAGAGGCGTTTTCGTGCGGTCTGCCAGTTGCTGCTGATAGCCGATTTGTTTATAATCGCGAGCGGTGTCTCGCGGGTCGTTTGCGAGGGGCCCAGCCTGGCTAGCCAGATCCGCCTGGGCGCATCCAGTCTTGCTTTTGCGCACCCTAGCCTTATTTTGGTCGACACAGGCGTTTTCGCGCGGTCTGCCAGTTGCTGCTCATAGCCGATTTGTTTATAATCGCGAGCGGTGTCTCGCGGGTCGTTTGCGAGGGGCCCAGCCTGGCTAGCCAGATCCGCCTGGGCGCATCCAGTCTTGCTTTTGCGCACCCTAGCCTTAACCCTTATTTGGTCGACCGAGGCGTTTTCGCGCGGTCTGCCAGTTCGCAGTTGCTGCTGATACGCCGATTTATTTATAAGACGCGCGAGTCGTCCGAGATAGTTGCCGATGCAACTAGGGGGGAGCGTTAGAGACGACTCTCTCTCTCCCAACTGTGAACAGTCGTTATCTGTATATGCGCAGCTATTCATAGCCGCGCCTATTATTTGTTTGTGTGTGTATCCGCGCTCTTGGCGCGATTACGAGACTAGTGTGTCGCACTAGTTGTACTTTTCGTAACAGTATTCCGCATTCATTGCGAGGGCGGACCACTCCTAGCGTGCAGACTGCGGGAGCTGGTGCCGCGGCCAGTGTAGACCTGGCCTGCGCTGTGACGCGCGCGCTCATCTTCAACGGACAACCCAACTCACCGACCCAACCCATGCACAACCCAACCCAACCCAAAAAGCACGATTCTCAAATTGGGCCCTCAAACAGCACAACCCAACCCAACCCAAAAAGCACGATTCTCAAATTGGGCCCTCAAACAGCTCATGACAACGTGACAAGGGACACGACAGGCTCGCAGCGCGGTGCACGGTGGAATCCCAACTCCACTGGCGGCCTCATCTCAGTCTAGCGACCTGCCTCCAGCTTCTCACTGGCAGTCTCTCGCAACCACAGGCACACTGACCATCCGTTATACTATGAGAAATTGAAAATGAACATTTTGGCCAACATAAAAAACACGAAAGGCGGCGGCGTTTTCGCGGCGTTGAGCACGCCTCCGCTCGGCGTTGCATGCACGCCTCCGCTGCGGCCTCTAAGTCGCTCGCTCGGCGTTGCATGCACGCCTCCGCTGCGGCCCTCTACGTCGCGCGGTGTGCGTGCGACGGCGAGGCCTGGGCGGACGGCTTCGCGCCCGAGGGCGCCAGTCGTTTGCTACTTCGCGCTCTCTCCCCCGACCACCTCCTCGCTCTGCCGCGGTGCGTCGCTTCGTGCCTCTTAACAGCGCTGGTGCCATCGGTCGCAGCGGTCGAAATCGCTGACGGCAACGTCAACTATTCATTCCGGGTGTACCGGCGGGGCTGCCGATCGCTCTTCCTCAAGCGCGCGACGGGGTATTTGAAGTGGCAGCCGTCGATGGCGCTCGAGGCGGAGAGGATGCGGCGCGAAGTGCAATACTACCGCGATGTCGCGCAGCTGCTGGGCGAGGCTGACGCTGACGCGCTCTTGCCGCGGCTGCTCCACTTTGACGAGCGCCGGATGGTCGTGGTGATAGCCTTTTTGGAGGACCACTCCCTCCTGATTGAGCGGTGCTTTGCGTCGGAGGATGGGGTGCCTGGAGACGCAGCCGCGGCCCTCGGACGCTACTTGGGCACGGTGCACGGTAGGACACTCGAGCGGCCCGGGCGCGAGGCCCAAACAGCGGAGCGAGCGGTCGCGTACTGGAATCACGCGCTGCGCGCCGTGCAGCTCGAGCACGTCTTCACAGTCTGCTTCGAGGCGTCAGAGCGCGGCCGCGTGCTCGCCAAGGACGCCGCCTTTATGTCCGAGGTGAGCGAGTTAAAGGCTCTTTACCTCGGCTACTCCCTCCGACCAGGCGACGTGCGCGCGCTCTGCCACGGCGACCTGCACGCCGGCTCAGTGATGGTTAGCAAAGACGGCGGCTCTGTCAAGGTAATTGACCCAGAGTTCGCGGTCTGGTGCGCGCCCGGCCTCGACGTTGGCTCCCTCCTCTTCGCGCTGGTGTGCGGCTTCATCTTTCGGCTCGAGACGTGCAGGGCAACGGGTTCACGCGCGGTTGGCACGGCGACATACCCGCTGACCTCTCTTCGCGAAGCTATCGCGCGGGTTTGGGAGGCGTACTCTGCGGCGCTCACCGCTGAGGGGGTGGATGAAAACGCCGTGGAACGCATCGGAGAGGACGCTGTCGGGTTTGCCATGCTTGAGGCGATCCGCACCTCACTCGGCTTTGCTGGCGCGCGGGACCCAGGCCGGCGGCTGACGGATCCAAAGGCACTGGAGCGATATCAGGAATCCGTTGTGCGGCTCGCGCGGCGGTGCATGCTCGGCCGCCGCGCGGATCGCGCTTTCTCCGCCAACGTCCAGGACGGCGGCTCGGTGTTTGGTATCGACCTGCTGCTCGCCGAGCTGGACCGTGCGCAGAGGGGGATCTTTAGCAACACCAAACAAACCCCGTAACACGCTTGTGTTGCGTTGCGCGGTGGCCCCCTAGGCGGCTAGCTAGGCGGGGCGCCTGAGTGGTGTCGTACGTAAACCATATTGTGTAAAGCCCTAAGGTGGCCCGCCGCTTTTGTTGAGGTATGGAGGACACGCCCGGCCCGCGGCCGCGCGCGCCGCGCCGAGAGTTGCGTTCCATTTGTTCTTTGTTGGCGGGCGGAGTGTCACGTAGCGCCCGACATGCCATGCACAGATCACAGTCGTCGGAACTGTGGAGAAACGCCGACGCGTTAACAGCACTTAACAGTGTGTGCTTCGATCACACTCACGTTGTCAAAGCGACCAGCTCACCATCAGTGGGCTGCAACTCGCGATCGAGAGCAGCCGCTCCGGTGGGAGGCGGGGCGAGCGGACTGGAATGACACGCGACGGGCTATAGCCCTTTGATCTTGTAGTAGTTGTAGAGCCCGAAGAAGGCGAGGGAGAGCGCGTACCCGAACCCCTGCAGCGGCGTGATCTCCTCGCCGAGGAAGACCGCGCTGAAGAGGACGAGGCCTGCGCGCTCCGCGGTAACAGTGAACGACCGAGTCATTACTCAGTCATCACTAAAGGTGGACAGGGCGAGGCCTGCGTTCCTCGCCGTGCCAAGCAACTTGAGCATCACCTGAGGGCAATAACGGGGCCAATCTTAATGGCAATGGCCACCATCTCTGCCTCTGCCGAACCGCTCGAGCTTCGCCTAGAACAAAACGGAGACAATCGCGAGACGAAGAGTCCACGCTGCCGAGCAGCTCGAGGACGACCGAGCTCGTCCTCTGAATCACCAGGAAAGAGGCGATGTTGACGGCGAAGCCGAGCACCACTGCCGTCGCGAATGCCGCCGCGTTGGGAGCGACAAGCGAGAAGGCCTATCCACAGCGGGCCAGGCGTGGAGAGACGCTATTCACCGCTGGCCAGCCTTCGGCGCGAGGGGCGAGAGGACATTCTTCTCGAGCGCGCGCGGCACCTCGAGAGAGAAGAGGAGGCAAAGGCAAGATGCAGCCGAGATGCAGCCGAGATGCAGCCGAGATGCAGCCGAGACACAGCCGAGACAGCCGAGAGACAGCCGAGATCAGACTCGCGCGGCACCTCTAAAACAGCAGCCAGACCGAACATCCAGCCGGCGCAGATCGGCGCCATGTAGTACAGCCCCTCCATCGCCTAGTGCCCCGGCGCGCCTCCGCTTACCTCGGCCATCCTCCGCGGCGCGCAGCGCAGCCGCCCGTCACTCGCCGGGAACTTGAGGTTCGTCAGCAGCTTCTGCGTCAGCACGAGCCGCGTCGCCTGCTTCGTGAAACCACTCTCGAGAAGCAGTCGACCGCAGCTTCTTCGCCGCCTGTGGGTGGCTTGCCTCACACGTCTCGGCGGCGCACCTACCAGAGAGAAGTCCGGGAAGGGTCCGAGGAGGGTCCGAGAAGGGTCTTGAAAGGGTCCGAGAAGGTCTTGAAAGAGTTCGGCCTCGCGCAGCCTCGCTCGGCTAGATGCTCGACAACGGCTGGACACTCTCGGGGCCGGATCTCGGCGAGGCACTCACATGATTAGCACGCCCGTCAGGTTGAAGTGCGCCTCGCCCGCGCTAGCGATGGCAGTGGCGGCGCTGATCAGCCCAACCGACAGCGCGACGCGAGGGGAGGGAGTCTCGACGCGCGTCGCGTATAGCATCACGACGACGAACACGGGCGTGAAGGCCTGCTCACGGCGGGACACGAGTCGCTGCTGACCGCATAATGTGCGGCGATGCAGCCGAGATATGGCCGAGACATCGCCGAGATATGGCCGAGGTAGGAGGGGAGAGGACCTTGAGGATCTGGACAAAGGAGACGGTCAGGTAGAGATAGCCGGCGTTGCCAAAGCAGAGCGACGCTGCGGTGGCTCCGCCGACGACGACCATGTTCCGGAGGTAGAAGGGCCACGTCACGTGCTTGGCGCAAGTCAGAGGCTGCAGCCGGAGCACACGCAGCGCGAGGAAGGAGCCGAGAGCGCTCGATGCCTGTCCGATGCCGGACACCATCATAGGGAATCCGAAGCCGACGTCCTTCAGGAGGTGCTTATTGACGAGGATTAGGGCCGGGCCAACCATCAGGTACACCGCCACATACGACGCTGTCAGCAGCCGCGATGGCGGCAGCGGTGAGGCGACAGTAGCCGGGATGAGCGGCTTGTCGTCGCCGGCGCTGCTCGAGCTCTCTCCGACGGCGGAGAGCGGCACAGACATCGCGTGTCGTGCGGGAGGAGCAGGCGGTCCGTCGTGGCATACAACATACGCGTATGTTGTGTGTGTTCACACTCACACGAGTAGGCCGCACTCACTCACACTCACACGAGTAGGCCGGCGGGTTTCCTTTTATGAGTAGCGCAGCGGGCCCCGCCACACGCAAAGCCGACCCCCAGTCTGCCCGAGAGGCTGCCTGTAGAAGGCCTGGCAAGCGCGCACTCGCCTGTCGCCTCCTCCGCGGCCGTGCCCTCCGCGCGGGCGAGCGAGCAACGCAATCGGAACGCAAGAGTGACAAACAACTCTCTCAAGAGAGTGGAGGTGGATCGCCATATAAGTGGAATTTTTATTTAAGTGTCGTGGTCCGTCGTCCCCTTTCTGAAATCGTATTAGATGGACCATTACGTCGCCTCACGCCTATCCTATATGAATAAATTCTCGTTCCGTTCCCTCCTCGCCGCATCGGCCATCACGGCGACGCGGCGGCGAGGGCTGGCCGGCTGCCGCCGGCCGCGGGGGCCCCAGCTCCTGAGGCACGCCCATCGCCTTGAGCGCGAAGTCCCCTCCCCAGGCTCCGGCACGCCGAAGGAGCAAGCGCTTCTCGCCCACCATTCGCCTCTGCGCCGCGGTCAGCTCCGCCATGCCCCATGCGCGCTCGTACAGCCGCTCTGCGTCGTCGAGCCGCAGCAGCTTGAGCTTCATGTTGGCGGCGGAGATGAGGTGCGCTGGCTCCGTCGGCCGCAGCCGCGAGGCCTTCATAAACATGCGATATGCCGTCTGGTACTCGAAGTGCTTGTTTGCGCCCAACCCCCGCTGCAAGGGGCGGAAGGGGTGGCGGCGTCAGGAAGAGGAGCGGAGCTCGCAGCGTCAAGGGGTGGCAGGCTCAGCGTCTAGAGAGCATCTACACACGGCAAGACCTGGTGAAAGTCAGTCGCCTAGTGCCTGAGCATTCGATAGAATTGCACATTCGGGCCCGAGTTCCACGCGACGTCTGAGCCCGCCTTGGAAGGCATGTATTTATCCTGTGCCTTTGTCAAGTTTGCACACAGCAGCGAGGCTGAGCTGAAGCAGGCCCCCCACGGCCTGGCCGATGAGCTACCGAGGAAGGCCTCGACCGACGGCCAAATCGCTGCTTGTCTGAGCTCACCGATGCTCCTGGAAAAGTAAAGCACCAGCTCTGGGCGGGGAAGCGGCCCCGCGGCAGCAGCACCGCTAGCGCAGGGAACGATCTCGTCCCAGCGATCGAACGACTCACTCAGCTTTGACCAGTCGTGCGTGGCAAAGGGGCGCACGACTCGCAATGTGCTGCTCGCGGCAGCCACAGCGCCGTGCCGTGCCAACAGGGCAATGGTCAAGACGACCCGTGGTCCTCGAGGCATCCAACGGAGTCCCCGGGGGCTAGCGCTCGTGGAGCTGGAGGCTCGTCCTTTTTGCGAAAAACAGCGGGCACGTCGCATCTCTTACCACAGGAAAAATCGTGTCAAGGAGAAAAATCCTAGATGGGAAAAAGAATTTTACAACGCGCCCTCGCACAACACTGGGCACGGGGAGAGCCGAGCGGAAGGCAGCGGGGGAAGACGACTCCGAGGAGGACGAACCAGTGGAAATCCAGTTGTCAGATGTCACGATGCACCCGAAGGGGACTCCAGCGCCGGCGTCATCCGTAGAGGCACGAGTGTTCCAAGAGAGAGTGGACCTGAGCAACGACATGACTGGGCGGCAAATGATAGCAGTGGGCGTCAGAAGACTCGTCCTTGCGCGAGGGGAGCTCGATAGACTCGAGGGGCCAGGATACGCCGCGAGGAGGACGGAGTTGCGCCGAAAGGCAAAAGAAGCCGAGAGGACAAGGGAACGGCAGGCGGCGGCGGCGGCGCAGAACGAGGCAGAGGAGAGCGACGCGACAGAGGAGGAGGCGACAAGGGAGAGCACGACGAGAAGGGGGAGACCGCGAGGTGGCACGAAGGTTGCAGCGAGAATCGGAGAGAGACTGCGAAGTGAGATAGGAAGAGGCGGACGCCCAAGGGTGGGCGACGGCTAGCGCACCACACCCCTCTCCTTAAAATCCCTGTGTGGCGGCGGCGTGCCGTTCTCCCATCCCTCCCTTGGGTTGTCTGTTTTCTTCTTTCTTTCTTTCTTTGGGCACGGGGCGGGCGCGCACTGCCACTGGCACTAAAAAAGGACGTAAGACTACATACAACGAAAAAGGTACACTACGGGAGCCGCTACCACAGCGTGGACTACGTGTTCAGAAACACCAAAAGCAGCGAGGCGAGGGTGAAGGGGTAAGGGGCTGTGTGGGGCAGAATCTACACATCTGACTACCTCCTACTCGAGTATCCAAAAGTTATTTAGTAAACCCCCGGTTTCGGACATCGGCGAACGATCGAAGGGTGCCGCCTGCCACAAATGGAGTCCTCGATGTGTGCACCTCAGTCCCAGAAGCTTGGAGCTTCAGGCCGCGACCACGTGGCTAGGTGGACACTAAAGTGCCATTTTGGCGCCAAATCTTGGCGGGAAATGACACGTGGCTTGGCGGGAGTGTGGTGTGGCTGCGCCGCTCGCCAGCGCTGCTGTTGAGCGCCAGCTGCTGCTCCCTTCAGCCAGACGGCCGGGCCTGCGCAGCACGACCGCTGGCCTTCCTCCTGCACCACAGGAGCGCGCCAAGGCGCGCGTCTGGGCAAGCAGTGCGTCTCATCGCGATGCGAGAGTCGGCGCTGTGACGCCGCCACTCGCCGGCTAGAATGACAGTGGCAGCATTCGAGTACGCGTCGAGCTGTGCGTACCAGCACTTGTATGCGAGCTCATTGTGTCCCTGAGCTGCTGTGGGGTGCGTGGGCTCAGCTGCGGAGCACGTACTGGGCGGCGGTAGGGGGGTGGTACTAAATAACTTTTTGGATAGGAGGTACTCCATCTAGCCTGGGGGGTCGGAGGAGGGGGGGGCAGAAGGGGTAAGATATGGGTGAAGCCAGCTAGTCGGACGCCCTGTCGTCGGAATACTCCTCGGAGCCGGTGTCCTCGTCGTCGTCCTCGCCCGACGCGGAGGTCGGGCGAGAGGTCTGCATCGTCTCGCCAGCCTTGAACCCGAACACGGCGTCGGCCGGCGCCGAGGCGCCGGCGGCCGTCATCAGGTGCATGACAAACCTGTCGCGGCATGCCGCATCAATCTCTCCGTACTCGGCCAGCTCATTTGCGAGCCAGTCCTGCGCGACGGTCGTCGCCACGGTGCCCTGGGGGACCGTGGCGCACATCACGCTGGGGCCGCGCCGATATCCGTCGTCCCTCTCCGGAGGCAGCGAGTAGGTGACCCGAGTCTTGGACCCCGCCTGGCTGCGCGCCCGCGCAGCTGCAGACCGTAGTCCTTCCATCGCGTACTCGATGTTCGCGCGTAGCTGCGCGCGTGGGCGCTCCGCGCGCTCGGCCTCGCTCGCGGCGCGCTCGGCCTCCTTCGCCCGGCGCTCCCTCTGCCTGGTCTTCTTGGCCTTGCGTGCCGCGGCCTTTGCCGCGAGCTGCTCATCTGTGAGCTCCTTCTCCTTCGGCGCGGTGCGCTCGATGTACGAGCGCTCCGCCGCCTTCACCGACTCGCGGTCGCCCGCGGCCTTCTCGTGCTTCAGGTCGACCTCGATGGTCGCGTAGCCCCAGGCCTTATCACCCTGACACACGACGCACCGAACAACCGTGCGACACAAACCGCGTCCTCCAGTTGCACGCGATCTGAGCGATTCCAGGGTCCGCTGCGCATCCCCGGCGGCACGACGGTGGCCGGCGCTTGCGCGCCAGCCCCGTCGTCCGCCGCCGGTTCCGCGGCCGCGGTCCCTGTCATAGCTCTACGCGTGCCATGGATCGGCGGGCACTTTTGCGAGGGGCCGATGCATGAGCGGCAGAGCTTTGGAAGTATGTCTGTGCATCTAAAGTGAACGAGGCTCCGTTTTGCGTGATGCCGTGATGTAGTCGATAATTATTATAACAGGAAAAGAGCACACGATTTTACTCGTCGCTCGCGCACAGTACACCCCCCGCAAGGCTGAGCGCCACGGCCCAATCTGATCAGGAAGCCACCTTGGTCTCCCCCTCGAGCGCAGCCTCCTCCTCGCGGAGCGCGACGGGCGGTGCATCGGCCGAAGGGCGGGCGGAGGGCAGGCACTGCACCTTGGGGAGGATGCTCGAGAAAGCCGTGGACATCTGCTGCAAGAGAGTGGGCTTCTCCTCGTCGGGAGCAACCGAGGGCGCCGCCGCCTCAGCCACCGCCTCGTCAGGCTCAGGTGCCGCCTCAGGCGCAGCCTCGGGCGAGGCGTCCTCGGCCAGCGCCTCCTCCGCCACCGGCGATTCGGGCTCCGCCATCGGTGACTCGGCCTCCGCCGTCTCAAGTGTCTCGGTCTCGGCAGCCTCGACAGTAGCCTCGGAGTTGCGGCCGGAGATGCAGTCAGCCACCTTGTCCAGGAATGACGACGACTTGACCGCCTCGGCCGGCGGTGGCACCTCGGCCGCATCCTCCTCGGCGACCGCCTCCTCGGCGACTGCCTCCTCGGCCTGCGGCTCCTCGGCCTGCGGCTCCTCGATCACAGACGGGGATCCCTTGCGCGGCGAGAGGGCTGCCGCGATCATGCCGATGAAGGACTCAGTTTGCCGCGGGCTGGTGACCGTCTCTGCAGCTGCCGCCGCCGCCGCTGCGTGCGTGTAGTCGTGCGCCACCGCCACCTCATCCGCCGTCTCCGCCGTCTCCGCCTCTGGCGTCTCAATCAATGCGCGTGCAACTGGCTCCTCCGGGGACTCGACCTCCGCCATCTCGACTGCCTCGGTCTCGGCAGCATCGGCAGTAGCCTCAGACTTGCGGCCCGAGAGGTAGTCAGCCACCTTGTCCAGGATTGAGGGCACCTTGACCGGCTCGGCCGGCGGCGTCACCTCCTCGATCGCCTCGGCAGGCGCGGCCTCGGCAACCGTCTCCTCGGCCGCCGGCTGCTCCTTGGGCTTCTCAGATGCCGCCTCCTCTGCCTCGGGCTTCACGTCGGAGGGTGCAGCCGTCGCGTCGTCCGCGGGCGTCTCGGCGGGCGCGACGTCGGGCGAGGTGTCGATTACGGTGAGGTCGGCGGGAGTGTCAATCTTCTCAGGCTGCGACACCGGCTCGGCGATGTCGTTGGCTGACGTGGAGGCGCAGGCGCCCATATACGTTCTTCTCTCGGATCTTCCGCTTGCGATTTTTCGGCTCCTTGCGTCGTGCGTCCCCGTTACAAAGTTGTCGGCTGTGAATAGTGGACGAACAGTGAGTGTCGAAGATGCTTGGGCTCTCCCGTTCTCCCGTTCACTGAGCCCTGGGTGGGGAGCGATCGACACCAATAGCGTGTTGGGTGTCCTCACGACTGACTGACGTCTGACTGACTGACCGCTTATGCTTTGCTCTTTCTTAGTCTCGTTATAGGCAAAGAGCCTGCCTACCTAGGCAAGAGCTGTATGTAGGCAAGAAAGAGCCTCACGCGGCGTCGCCCTCCAGAGGGAAGAAACTCATATGTGAGACAGAGAGTCACGCGGGACAGGAGAGAGTAAAGTGCCAAGAGGGGGGCACTACACAAAGAGCAGTAACTATCTCCGCATTCCAACGCTGTCGGCAAGAGAATTTCCATGACGATTTCTTCCGAGACGGCGTTCAAAACACTTGGTGTCGAAACACCCCTTAGATCTAATCCCAGTCTTTAACGGGCGTGCTCCCAGGGTCCGGTTGTCCGATGGCGGATCTCCGGGTTGTCGGCAGAGCTGGGGAGGTCGACTACCCCGCCGCGCCCGACGAGGAGTCAAACGGCAGGGCCCTCTTAGCGCGGCGCCCGCGCTTCACCAAGGCTGCGGCGGCGCGCTTTCTGCGGCTGTGCGCGTGGCTCAGTCTTCGTCGGACTCATGCTGCTGATCGCGTTGCCGCCGTCGTCCAGATCGAATCTTCGATCGCGCATCTCTCAGACGGGACATTCCGACTCCCACTCCGGCGCCCCTCCCCAGTCCCCACCCCACCAGAAGCCCTCACCTCGCCTCCTCGTCGTCCACGTCGTCGTCGCCGTGCAGCGCCGCCCACGGATTGGCAGACGCCGGGGTCCTGGGCTTGGCGGGCTCGGCGGTCTTGGCGGCGGTTGGAGCAAAACGCTGACGCGTCAGCTGCCCTCTTGGCGGCGGATCCGGGCCGCCCCTCCCGCTTTGCACGTTGCCGGCCTGTCGCGGCCCGCCCGAGGTGGGCGGTGGGCGCGGCCTGACGCCCTGCGTTTCGAGCCACTGCTGCGCCGCCTCGACGCGGGCCTCGAGCGTCTCTCCGCTTGTCATGCGCGCCGCGCGGATGCACGCATACTGTGGGAAGCCGAGCGCCTGACGGTGCGATCGGTGGGACTCTAGCTGCTGTGGGAAGGACGTGTGGAGTCTTGTGGAGAGTGAACGCTAGTGCTCACTCGCAGCCGCCGCACGAGCGGCACCTCCGCCTCGCCGGCCTCCTATCCCCGAAGCATGGCTGAGAATACAGCCGAAATATGGACGCGCGGCGCCACACGCCTCGCTCACCTCGACTGCGCCTCGTGGGAGCGGGGAACCGCCCCAGGGACGCGAAGCGGCGGGCGGCCCCGCCCCGCTCTCTGCGCTGGGCGGACGCATGGCCCTCTCGTCCGGCGCTTGAGGCATTTGCGTTGGCGGCTGCTGTGGCGGTGGTGGCGCTGCCGGCAGAGACGGCGGCGCCGGCGACGGCGACGCAACCGGCGGCGGCTTTGCAGCGGGCGGAAGGGACGCCCGTGCTGCATCGCGCGGCGGCCCTGCAGTGGCCTTGGCCGGCTCTGCCGCTCCCCCGAGGGTCTGCATGAGAGCCTTGGCCTCCTCGTACCCGTCTGCGTGCCGCACGTGGAGGCGCGCCTGTAGGCAGCGTACAAGGTGGGGGGCGGTGCGACCGGCGCGTGGTCAGAGCTCTGCGCATGTCCTCGCGCAGGCGTGCTCGGATATCTGCAAGAGATTCGGCGATACCTCTGCTACATCTCGGCTGCAGCTCGCCGTCTTCGCGCCGGCGTGCTCGGGCCGTAAGAACCAGAGCTCCGTCGCGATCGACGCGACAAAGTCGCGGTGGTGCGAGATGCACAGCAGGGCGCCGCGAAAGCTGCTCAGCCCGGCCTTCAGCGCGTCGAGGCTGTCGAGGTCGAGGTGGTTGGTCGGCTCGTCGAGCACTATGAGGTGCGGCAGCGCGGGCAGCACCTCCGCTGCCAGGATCAGCCGCACGCGCTCACCGCCTGAGAGGTCGCCCACCCGCTGGCTGGCGTGCTCGGCGAGCGAGACGGCGCCGAGGCACCTGCTCATAGAGAGACTCTGTGAAAAGACGCTGTGCGTGGGCGTGCCGCAGAGACGGCGCGGAGGCACTTGCGCGCGACGAGCTCCGACGCGCCCGGTACCTGGTGGTGGTGTGGGTGGTGGTGGTGGTGGTGTGTGTGTGTGTGTGTGTGTGTGTGTGTGTGTGTGTGTGTGTGTGTGTGTGTGTGTGTGTGTGTGTGTGTGTGTGGTGGTGGTTGTGGGGGGGGGGGGGGCTCCAACTGACTGGAATTGGTGAGCTGGTGCGGGAGCTGGTGCGTGGAGCTGGTGGAGTGGCCGGCGCCTGGGAGGCGACGTACTCGGCCGCGGTCATGTCGAGGTGGTGCACCAGCTGCTCGAGGTGGTTTTGCCTGCGGGACCAGGCATCCTCTCACGCGTGGAGATCGAAGGCCAAGGTTGCGCACCCGCTGCGCTTGGGCCTCAGGTACGCCACGCGCAAGTGCGACCTGCGGCTCACGTCGCCGGAGAGGAGCTCGGCGCCGCCCTAGGAGCGTGACGTGATTGCATTCAAACCGGATGCGACCCGCAAGAGGCGTGGGACTCTGCCCTTCCGGCGGCCTCTGCGTCGCTGCCAACGAGCGCCTAGCGCCGGCGAGAGACTGCAATGTGCCGAGATCAGCCGAGATGATCAGCCGAGATCAGCCGAGGTCAGCCGAGATCAGCCGAGATCAGCCGAGATCAGCCGAGATCAGCCACGGCTTGCCTCCACGAGCGTCGACTTGCCCACCCCGTTGGAGCCGAGGATGGCGATCCTGGCGCCCGCCTCCACGGCCAGCGTCACCTCTCTCAGCACGGCGCCTCGCCCGGGACGGCCGATGCTCGCCTCGTCCAGCCGCAGCAGAGGGGCACCGCCCGACAGCGGCGTCCCCGCCCGGAACTCGAAGGCGAGTGTGCGCTCAAAAGCGCGCCGCGCCTGCACGCGCGCCGTCGCCTCGGAGGCGTTGAGCCTAGTGCGTGGATATAGGGAGAGGTGAGGAAGAGCGTTGCGCCTACGGCACTGCTCATGGCACGGTTTCGATGGGACACAGCCGAATTGTGCTTGGTGGGTGTCTGTTCAGAATCTAGTGCGAGCCTCTCGCCGTCGTCCAGCTTGAGAGTTCGCTGAAGGTGCGCCTTCTTCTGCTGCGCCGCCCGCGCCGCCGAGCCGTCGCCGCTCTTCTTCATCGTCCCGCAGAGCGCCTTGACGTTGATGAAATCATGCCCGTGCGCCTTTGAGTCTCGGGTAATCTCGGGTGATCTCGTGATCTCGGCGAGCAACCTTGACGTTGATGACCGCGTGCGCCTTTTGCGCCTCCTCCACCTTCTTCAGCGTCCTGGCGACGTGCCGGTCCTCGATCGAGAGCTGCGCCTTTTGGGAGGACGCGAGCCGCTCCTCCTTCACGCGCGCCTTCTCCATCACCGCCTCGTCGCGTCTGTACAGCTGCTGCCGGCGGCCGAGGTAGCTCTCGAAGCCGCCCGCCGTGTGCACCAGCCGCTCCTCCTCGATGCTGAGCACGTCGCTGCACGTCGCCGTCAGAAAGTCAGGGTCGTGGCTGACGATCACGGCCGTCGCCTGAGTCCTCGTGAGCTCCGCCTCCAGCCACCTACCAATGTGATGGCTCCCCTATAGCCGCTCTCGGCTGATCTCGATGATCTCGTATGATCTCCGCCACCGGACGGCCGCGAGGTCCATGTGGTTGGTTGGCTCGTCGAGCAGAAGCACGTCCGGCTGCACAAAGAGCGCCTGCGCCAGCGCCAGCCGCTGCTGCCAGCCGCTGCTCAGCTCGCTCTCCCCCTTCCCGCTGTCCTCCGGCTCGAACTGTAACCCTCGGAGAATGCCCTGCGCATGCTGTTGTGCCTGAGGTCCGTCTATCGTCTCCAGGAGATCGATCACCTCTCCAAGCCGATCGGAGAGGGAGGCGACGGCTGCGGCGTCAGCGCCCTCGAGGCGTGCCTCCAGAGCGTCTCTCTCCGCCTCTAGTCCCGGCCGATCCCACGCGGCTGCGCGGGCGTCAAGCATCGACTGCAGAAGGGCGACGGACCCTGGGATGGTCTCCTGTCGCACCAGCACGGTGGTGATGGAGGGCGGCCATCCTGGCAGCTTGCCCTCCGAGATGAGCTGAAGCAGCGCGCTCTTGCCTGCGCCGTTCCGGCCGACGAGTGCGTACCTGACGCCGCGCAGGTGGAGGGTCGCTGAGGTGGGCGCGGAAACGAGCGCACTGGGCAGTGTGGCGTCACCGCCGTGACGGCACAACCACGATGCGGGAGTCCATTAACAGAACGCTGCCGCTTGGCGTGAACACATTAAGCGACTCGATAACGACCTGCTTGCTGCCCGGTAGGCTGCTCCCAGAGGCTGTGACAGTAAAGGACGCCGATCGCACCACGGGCGGCAAGGACATGGCAGATCGGGCCGCTGTGTGCGTTCAGCCTCTCCAGCAAGGGCGAGACTGGTCCGAGGCGACCGAGGCCGAGGACGCACGAGTACGTTTTTTTATATATACCAAAAGGAGGGCTACACAAGGCCCTCTACGCTGGGGCGCCGGCGCCCTACTGGGCGCCCCCCGCTCCCTTCCCCTTAGAACCCCCCATCCCGCTAGCCCCCCCCCCCCCGCGGTCCCACGTTTTTTTTAGAGCGCCTTCGTTGTTAATAGTACAAACCCAACGTTTTTTTTCATACTCTACTCCAAGGGTTTGTCGAGCGCCCGGTAGACTCCCGGGTGAGCAAGTTCCTTCTCATTGGAGCAGACTCCCCGGTGAGCAAACCGTGGGCTAGAGCAGCGCTGTGTGGAGTCAAGTCAGGCCGATTTCACGGCGGCATTGAGGCCCGGCGTGATGCGGGCAAAGATGGCGTGGCCCTTGAGCACGTGCACCATCGCGCCGCCCACGTGTATGGGTATGAGGTAGTAGAGGAGGCTGCCCGCGGTCGTGTGCCAGCCAAACATCTTGCCGGCAAAAGCGCCGTCCTCCTTTGTTTTGTCGGCCTTGCCCGGGATGGTGAACTGCCAGAAGAAGGGGACGCCCTTGCCGCCAAAGTAGCCCATCGCCATTCCGGTCGCGGGCATCCAAAGCATGAAGCCTAAATAGGGATGTGCAGAACCCCTCTCTAGGTGGCTGTGGCATATCTCGAAGCCCTCTCGGCAGCTGGTTGGGCGGACCGTACAGCAGCCCGTGAGAGACGTCCGCGGCGAGGTGCTCGAGCCTTCCTCCGGGCAGCGCCGCCGGCACGCGCGTGAGCAACTTCAGTGCCACCCGCGGCACGATGGCGGCAGTGAGGAGCACCGCAGTCGACTTGTGGATCGTCATCAGGTAGCCTTTCGTCTGCCCTTTGGTGCGGCCACCGTTCCACGGCGTGTCAGCAGTGGTCCACTGTGAGAGCTTTGCCGTGCCCAGCGTCACCGCGAATCCTGCAGCCATCGCCCAGTGCAGCCACTGCAGGCCGCCCGCGTACTGCTCCTCGAACTGCACGGCGCTCGAGCTGAGCGAGCGGCGTGCGGGGAGGAGCCTCGGAGCAATCGGCGTGGGAGCGGCCTTGGGTGGGCTCGCGGTGAATGAGCGGAACAGCAGCCTCGGAGCACGTGCGCGCAGCAGCATTTTGCGCGGTGATGAGCGGCCTCTGGCTGGGGGGGGGGGGGTAAGGTAAGGTAAGGTAAGGTAAGGTAAGGTAAGGTAAGGTAAGGTAAGGTAAACTTCTCCACACACACGAGGTGGTGGGGCAAGGGGGGGCAACCCTCGCGTCTCCACGTCTGACGACAGGAGCCCCACGGCATTCAAAGTGCAAGGCCCAATGCGCGTGGGTGAACCGTGTGTGTGTGTGTGTGTGTGTGTGTGTGTGTGTGTGTGTGTGTGTGTGTGTGTGTGTGTGTGTGTCACGTCACTGCATCCTCCGCCGGTTCCTCCCGTCGCCTCTTCTTTGTTCGAATGTTTTTCAATCCATCCTTCACGAAGCCCTCCCATGTAGCTAGCGTTCTTGGCGAATGTCTCGAAATGGCCAGCAGGCGCTGTCTGCTCGCGGTCTGTGCGGGCCGCTCGTCCTCCTCGCCCTTCTTTCGTCCTCCCGTCCCTCCCCTCCACCATGGCCTTCTCGGCACTTCTTTCTCCATCCGCCTCGCCCTGCCTTTTCGCATCGTGCCGTTCGCCCTCCATTCGGTGACCTCCATGGCTGTCCGCCCCTTTTTGGGTGGCGCTCTCGATACGGTTGCGTCAACCTCGACGTCGCTGTCGCCCTCCCCGTCCCCGCCGGCGTCCGTGCCTCGGTTCGCGTCATCGGTAGCGTCTCCGTTGTTCCCTCGTGCCCCGCCGTCGCCCTCTCTGCTCGGGCCGTTAGCGATTTCGCTCCTCCTGCGTGTCGCCCCTCCGTCCCCTCCCCTTTCTTCGTCGTCATCGTCGCTGTCGCGAAAGCCCTCCGGTCCCTCGATTCCCTCGCCTATCCCCTCCGCTGCGTCGTCCCAGTTTATATCCTCATCCTCTGCGCACGTCGCGTTGGCTTCCTCTCTCCCCCTTTCCTCCCTGCCCCTCTCGCTGTCTGGTGTTAATGGACCCCCTTCCTCTTCCTCGCCACCGTCACCGTCTCCATCCCCGTCGCTACCGCCCTCCATGCCCGCCGCCCTTTGTTTCACACTCGTCTCTGCCATGTCCGCCGTCGCCTAGGTAAGGTAAGGTAAACGTCTCCACACACACAAAGTGGTGGGGCAAGGGGGGGCGACCCTCGCATCTCCACGGGGGGGGGGGGGGGCAACTGTACCCGGGTATAAACTCCCCCATCGGTCAAGAGCTGAATCCGGACCTCTTTCTCATGTGGTCTTTTCGCTCCCTGCCACCCTCCCTCGCGCCCGAATTACACCGCGCCGCATTCGCGCGCGGGCGAGACGGCCGACCTTAACACCTCAGCGCCGCGCGACATGGCAAACCTTCGGTGGCCCGCGCTTGAAACGCGCCGCCTCTGGATTGTACTCGGGCGTTTCGAGGAAGGTGAGGAAGAGGTTCCCCAGCCGCTTCCGAAGGCCAGAGAGGCTGGCCTGCGCACACGGGGCAAGGCGGGAGGGCTGGGAAGGAGTGGTGCGGGCGGAGGAGAAACGACGAGTGTGAGCCTATCCCCGTCTACGCACCTCTGTCCGGCCGCGGTTGAGCAAGTCCGCCTACAGCCAACGTGGACCCGCGATTAGCCGAAAGAAAGATGCAAGTCCGACGCACTAACCAGGGTTGCCTCGCGATCGATCAACTCCACCATCTCGCGCGTGAGGCCACATTTGAACTCCGTGACCGCCCACTTGATGTGCAGGAGCACGTCCAAGCGCTCGTCCACGCCCAAGCCTTGCAGCATCAGCCCGCTATACAGGTCCGCCAGCTCTTTTGCCCGCGCGGTGAACGGCGTGTGCACCTGCGCGACGCCGCCGTCGGACATCCGCCACTGCTTGGGCGCCGACATCTGCGCCAGCACGGCGCGGACACGCTGCTGCCGGACCTCTCCGTCCGCCTGCGGCGTGGGGCAGAGAGATGTGACGCGTTTCCTATGCCCCTTTGAGTGCAGACCACGCCGGCCGCTGCTCTGATCGTGACGAATCTCGGCTCATCTCAGCCACTCCCGCTGATCGTGACCTGCAATCTGAGCCGGTCGATGGTCTGGAGCAATCGCTGCTCTTTGATGCACAACGCCTGCTCACCGGCGAGGCTTGACTAAGGAGGCCACACACATGGTTCGCCTCTCTTTGGCTACATTCAGGTGATCTACTACCACAAAATTGTTTACTCATCTCGGCGGCGTTTTATAGGTGGCTTCATCGTCGAGCAGCTCGACCCGTCCGACGTGATCAAGATCTGGGGCTACGACCTGTCGTGGCTCATCATCATCGACCTGGTGAAGATGGCCATCATCCGCATCCAGGCGAGATGCAGCCGAGATTCGGCCGAGATTCGGCCGAGAGCCTAGCCGAGATTCAGCAGAGTCGTGTGGCCGATGGTGAACTTGCCGTCCATCACGCTCTCAGGAGGGACCGATGACGTCGGTCGCCGACACGAAGACGCGCCAGGGCCGCCTGACTTCGAAGAGCGTGGCGTCGAAGAGCATGGTTGGCAAGGGCGACCTGCGCATCTCCATCTCTGGCCAGCCGATGACCAAGTGAGCTCACGCTACCGAGGGGGCAGAGAGGGAGGCCGCGCGCTCGTGCGCGGCTGTTATTGTTGGGTGTTGAGTCGCGGTGCAGCAAGTGCAGTAGGAGCAGAGCGAGGGGGAGAGAGCGTCGCTCCGTGAAAGGGCGCCCGCAGGCAAGGGGAACGTTTTACGTCGCGGGGGGAGGGGGGAGGAGGGGGGAGGGGGGGGGGGTACCGGCGAGGTCCTGAGAGAGCTTGCGCACGAGCAATTTTTGGCTCCTTTCCTTTGGATCTTAAATACGGAAGCGGAGCTGCCTTCCTGCATGGAAACGATATAGCGACATATGTCGATCTACAGGTACGACCCGCGCCGCAGCCCGCGCCACTTCCCGCGCCCCGCGGCACGTGTCGCGCGCAGGTTGGAGTACACCTAGATAATTGTTGAGACCGGCAGCCTAGCTTGCACGCTCTCAAGACCTCATACGCGGGAGGCATATATGCACATGCGAAGTGAATCGTTCCGAATTATACGGCGTGCTCCGAGCTCCGTCCGTCGTCAGATGGCGGTTTGCAGGTGCGTCCCAAAAGCGGGCAGTGGCTCGCCCACCTTCTTCGCGATAACCTCCGCCTCCTCTAGCGAGATGTACGCCTCGGGCTGCCCGTCGAGCAGCCGCGCCGCCTTCCAGTGGTGTCTGTCGGGGTCTGATGATTCAGCGTCCGGAGGAATCCAGCAGACGCCCTCGCCGACCGGCACCTCGTTGTCAAACCTCCCGATCATCACGCGGCCGTCTGCAAGCCGGTAGGTCCCGCGGCCGTGCTTTTTGTCCTCAACGTATTCGCCCTCGTACACGTCGCCGCTCATGAAGCGGTAAATGCCGCGGCCCTGCTGCCGCCCGTCCTGCCATTCCCCCTCGTAGACGTCGCCGTCAGCGTAGGTGTAGCTCCCCCGCCCGTGCTGCTTGCCGCGCCTCCACTCGCCCAGATAAACGTTGCCATCCTAACGGTGACAGGGGGCGGTGTGTGTGTGGAAGGGCTGGTTCAGGCAGTAGCCCTGCGTGTTGGAAGTATGTGGGTGGGCGGTCGGGTGGGCGGTTGCGCGCCAGGTACAGATAGCTCCCCCGGCCGTCTGCCTCTCCCTCATCGTTGCGCCCCCCCTCGTAGATGCCTGCGACCCCCTCGCCGCTCGCCACGAAGGCGTTGTTCACGATTGTGATGTAGTCACTGTACAGGGGGGCGGCTCTTGTGAACAATGTCGGGAGCAGCGAGCACGATTTCGACGAGCCGGCCGCCTGTACAGCTTGGCGACCACCTCTCGGTCGCCCCTGCCGGTAAAGCGCGCCTAGACCACACGCTGGGGGCTGTGAGGATTGCACTCCTCATAGCCGCGATGCTCAAGGTGATGCGCCGCGTTAATCCGCGCCCGTATCCGCTCAATGCGCGGAAGAACGAGTTTCGCCGTGGCTTGGTTGGGCTCGGCTACCGCGGGGAGAGAGCGGTGCTGCACGAGATCTTTGATGCGCTGGACGGTGACGGCTCGGGCGATATCAAGCAACATCGGCTGATCTTCGCCTTTATTACGGCTATGCTTGCAATCTAGGCGACGGCTCGGGCCAAATAGACACCAAAGAGCTCGAGCGACTCCTGAAGCCGGACTGGGAGCGACGTGCGAGCGGGGTGGTGAAGGAGGCGGCCAAGCGTCGGACCGCCAAGGACGAGGTGTCTCGTGCTGGAGGCTCAGCTCCTAGGGCTGGTTCGCACGACCAAGCGGTTGACTGTCGGTTCAATAGGTGCTTGCGCTCAAGACGCAGCTGCAGGAAGACATTGCGGACCTGCAGTCGAAATGCAAGAGCATCGACGACCAGCTGCTGGTGCGCGCCCCTTGTGGTCCAGCCGTGAAAACGTCGCTCCACGCCTCCACTTGTCACCAGGCAATCCCCAGCCTCGCCAGCCTTCTGCAAGAGCTTTTGGACCGGCAGCAGCGCCCCGCCCAACACCCCCCTCCTCCGTCGGCAACGCCCCCCGCTCCTGCTCTACCCGGCGGTCCAATCTACCGCGCAGCAACGTTCGAGGGCGAGGGCGACCACCAGTTGGGGCAAAACGGCAGTCTAGAGCTCGCACATTACTCACCTCTCCTTTAGGTCTCGACGATTTGGGCGGCGATAAATACGTCGCTCAAGTCGCCGAGTCGTTCGCTGCGGCCTCCCCAGAGGCTCCTCGGCGAGAGATGTCGGTGCTGTTTGGCGAACGGAGGCAGCAGCCGGTCTACCGCGCAGTCACGCGCTCCGCAGCCGCCGCGCTGACCGCCGGCGCAGCGTCGGCTCCGCCGTCGCCAGGGACCGCCCCGGAGTATATGCCCGAGCCTACCGCCCCGCCGGTCGCCGCCTCAACGGGGCAGCAACCCGCCCTCATTGCCGCGGCTCTGTTCCTCGCGGCTCTGGTGGGCGTTGTGCACGCCGCCGACGAGCAGCGCTGGCCGCGGGCCTACCGCCATCAGGTCGACCCTCGCCACTACCGCTCAGAACGCTGCACGCCGCCCGCCAGAGCACGCCCCCTCCGCCGCAGGTGGACGTCACGGCACAAGCTGACGGGCCGCTGATGCAGCTGAGCCTCGTATGGTACCTCGCCTCGAACTGCCTGTGCGCCAACGTGGCGTACGCCAACCGACGCCGCTTGCATTGGCTCCTCATCGGACCTCTGGTTGCGGGCTTGCTTGGCGACAGCGTCTACCATTGCATCGAGGCGGCCCACTGGTGGCGAAGCGACTACTACCGCTTTGGATCGCCCGAGGTCTCGGCGCAGTCCTGCCTGGCTTCGATCCCGCTGGTCGCTGCCATCCTCGCATGGGTTGGCGAGTGGGCCGCCGCCGACGCGCGCGCACCGCGGCACGCAGCTCGGCATGTGACTGTGTCTCTCTCACCCACGCGCATCACGGATGTGACAGGCAAGCCGGCTGTTGTAGGCCTGCGAAGCTCCTAGTGCTCAGCCTCGTCGGCGTCGGCGCGTACTACGAGCTGGTGATCTCGCCCGGCCTGCCGCCTTCGAGCGTACAGTGGCACCTCGGCAACACTACTCAGCTCGCCGGCTAGCCTCGAAGCGCAAGAGGAGTGAGAGGGGCATGACTCGATTGCTGTAGGCCACACTTACATCACTCACTTGCTGCTCAACATGGTCGCGCCACTCGCTGAGGCGGGCCATCATCGGGGACGCTCTCCGAGAGACCGAGTCGTCGTGACATGGCTGTCCATAGGCGCCGCCATTCCTGACGTGGACGTTCCTATGAGGCGCCCTCGCGGTCGACGACATCTCAAGGCCCAAGCCGCAATATTTTTTCGGTAGCTACGTCAGGGGTATATGTGGATCTGTGTAATCTGCCTAGATATAGTTCGGCATACCGACGGCTAAGGCCGAGGCAGAAAAAGTTTCTGTTTTTCTCCGCTTACGTATCTTCACACGATTTTCCTGTGAAGAGAAGCGTGGAGAAACGGAAACGGAGACATTTCAAACTCGGTGTCGAACCACCAGCCCGACGCTCACTACAGTGAGGGTGTGGACCGTGAGTTGACGGAAATCGGAGGACGCGACCCACTTCGCCACAGACGGTCCCGCCGCCTCGCCGCTATGACGCCTCATGACGGCGCCCGCGACACGGCCGCAGCTCGTATGTGGCTGTGGGACTGGGAGAGGGGGGTGCTGGTGCGTGGTGGGGGCTCCGGGGGCTTCTGTGGTCCACTAAATGCCCCCTTGATCAGAAAAGCCGTACTACCAGATTGAGGTGAGACTGACAGAGGGCCGGGGGCGATTCATACCCGCCGGACTGCACACTCACGACAACGTACACTCGGCGAGGATAGGAGTCTCCGAATCACGTCATGCGAACTGCGTCGGGCTGCCTCGCGCCGCACTGGGCGGGTGCACCGACGCGCCGCACGAGGAGCAGTAGCGGCCGGCGCCGCCGACCGCCTGCCCGCAGAGTCCGCAGAAGGGCCCCTCGTCGAGCCCTTCGAGCCCGGCCTACGCGCTAGACCATACGGCGTAAAGAGGCGCCACACTCACCCCGCCCGACCCGTTGCCCCGCCCCACGCTCCGCCTCGGCGGCCGAGACAGAGAGCGGCGCGCTCGCCGCCGCCACCGTCGCCGGAACAAGCGCCGCGACGACAACAGGAAGCTCGGTGCCGTCGCCTGCGAGTGGACAAACATGCCGTGATCGCACAAGTGAGGCCGCAAAGACAGGCAGCAGCGGCAGCGCCGTCGCCTGCCGCCGGAGGGGTGGGCGGAGGCTCCCCACCCGCCTCGCCCTGCTGCTCCGCCCGCCGCGCCTACACGGCCACCTCGGGTCACCTCGGGTCACCTCGGGTCACCTCGGGTCATCTCGGGTCACCTCGGGTCACCTCGGGTCATCTCGGGTCATCTCGGGTCATCTCGGGTCATCTCGGGTCTTCACGGGAGTTCTTGGGTCATCTCGGGAGATCTCGGGAGATCTCGGGAGATCTCGGGTGGTCTCGCGCCAGCACACGGCTCCGCAGCTCCTCCCGCCGCGCCGTCTCCGTGGCGTCGTCGGCCGCGGCGCCGCACCCTCCGCCTCCCCCCTCCCCCTTCCGCCTCAAGCTCCTCTTCCGCTTGCGGAGCCCAAGGCCGACAAAGCCTGCGAGGGCGACGGAGGCGCCGCCGGCGGCCGCGGCGCCGACGATCGCGCCGGTGTCGCTGCCGCCTCCTCCTTCGCCGCCGCTCGCCTTGAAGAGAAGGAGGGGCTGAGCGAGCTCAGCCGAGCCGAGAAGAGCCGAGCCGAGCTGAGCCGAGATTGGGAAAGATTGGCCGAGATGCGACCTCGAAGAAGCCGTGGGTCCCCTCGAAGCTCAGCTTGATCCTGACGCTGCACGAGTCCAGCCCGCAGCCCGTCTCCACCTCGTCTGTGGCGGAACAGACCGCCTCTGCAGCGAGGTCCACCGAGATGTAGTCCCGCTGCAGCACCGCCCCCTCCTGCCCCGTCGTGTCCTCCTCATCGCCAGCGCACTGCTCATCAAGGGCGTCCTGGCAATCCTCCAAGCTGTCGGACGCCCCTGTGAAGAGGACCATCTGTTCACAGCCGAGACGCGTCAAGAGACGCCGTCCACACCCTCGCTCGCCCGCTGTGAAAGTGCCACACCCGGTCGCAGACTTTGAAGCCGACGAACCGAAATTCCTCGCGTCCCCAGGCGGCACGATACTCCTCCGACACGCTGGCGCACCTCCCGTTCTCCACCGTGAAGCTCGCGTGGTACGCCTCGCCGTCGCAACCCTCGGACTCGTACAGAGTCTCCGTGATGTATCTGTGCTTCGCGTCTTCGCAGCCCGCCTGCACGTGGTCGAAGTTTTCCGCGACGGAGCAGACGCCGTCGGAGTCGCAGAAGCCCGCCACACTGCCCTGCGCCCCGCCCTCCTCCGCCACACACACGTCGCCGCACTCCTTTCCGTTGCACGGGGCCGCCTGGCAACCGATTTCCGTGCAGTGCGCCTCCGACCCGTCGCCGCTGTCCGGGCAAGTGCACGCGTTGCAGCCGTCGTCCGCTGGCCACGTGTCACCAGGCTCGCAGTCGTCGCACAACGAACCCACTGCCGCCATTGCGGGCGTGTCGGCGCAACCAACCACACAGAGAGGGGCGCCGGTGCCGGCAGTAAAGAGGGGAGAGTCCGACTCGTACTCCTCCAGGTGCGTGCGGCATTTCTCGTACCCGTCGCAGCCGCCGCCAAAGTCTACGACGCACTCGGCCACAAAAAAGGAAGAGCACGCCTCGGAGCAGGGCGGCGCAAACACCTCCTCAGCGTCCCTCCTCGGCCGCGCCGCCGCAGCATCCTCCGCCGAGTCCTTCCCCTCCGCCTCCGCCTCGCCCTTCGCCGCCGCCGCCTCGGCCGCCCTCGCCGCCTCCGCCGCCGCCCTCGCCGCCTCCGCTGCCGCCTCAGCCGCCTCCGCCTTCTCATCCCACCACTCCGCAGACCCAAAGGGCCGTCCGCCGCTCCTGTTCAAAGCACGCATGTGAAGAGACGCAGCTCACAGCTCGCCGGAACACGGGAACGGGCCGCCGCCACGCGCTCCTTGCCGGCGTGTCGCCGCTGCCGTACACGGGCGCGCGGCCCGCCCCGCCGATCCGCTCGCCGCCGTAGCCGAGAGCCTCGTGCACGTACGCAAAGATGTCGCCGAAAGGTAGCGGCCAGACGACCGCCCCCGCCCCCTCGCCAACCTCGGCCTCTGTGCCATCGGCGTCATACCTGACCACCCATCGGCCGCGGCCGAGGTCGGTCAGCACCGTCGCGACCGCACCGTCGACGGAGACCTTTGCGCCGAGGTTGAAGACGCTCGGAGCCTCCCTGCCGCCGCCGAAGGCTGCACCCGCGTTCGCCTTGAGCGAGACGCGAGCGAGGAAGATGGCGTCGCCTGTCACGGCGCTGAGCTGACCGGCGCTGCAGGTTGAGCCACACGCGAGGCTGGCGGTCTGGAGGGTGACGCCCGACACGTCGAGCGTGTGCGAAGAGGCCTTGAACTGCGAGGAGACGGAGTGGCCCTCAAAACGGAGGGCCGTCGTGTTGAAGAAGAGGCGCACGCGCCATGCGCTCATCGCATGCGAGCGCGTCGAGGCGTACAGATAGACATCAAAGGGCGCGTCCGTCAGACACGACACGGTGGGAAGCGTGGCAAAGACCGTATCCTTCTCTGGCTGATGCCCCGCCGGGGCTGCGCGCTCAATCGTCTCGTCCGCCGAGCGGAGCAGCGGGTCGTACCACGCCGGCCGCCCGGCGTCAGAACCGCACCCAGCCCTGTTGGTGATGACGGACGCCGGGAGGGCACACAGGAGGAGGACAGAGAGCGGCATAAACACACACTGTTGCTCTGGGAAAGCTCCGCGCCCCACCCTTTGCCTCCCTATCTCTCGGCCACAAAAGGCGAGCGGCGTTGTTGTGGCTGGCCGCGCCGACTCAACGCCGATTTTATTTTTTCTTTTTTCACACCCTTAAGCTGAGAGAGTCGAGAAGGGAGAGTTGAAACATGCGTGACCTAGTAGTGTCCCCAGCTATGGGCGTGTCCACGTTTGGAGCCAGGTGTGGTGTGGGCGCGAGAATAGCTCCGCCGTTCATGGAGGCAACCGATGCGAGTCGACTGGTGTGTGTCGTCGTGGTTTCGTATCAAGAATACTCACACTCACACAGTTGAAAGAGAGTCAGATTTTCTCTCACAACACAGAGCCCATTCGCCCTTCTCATCACTGCCCTGGCGCCCACGCCTCGACCTTCTTCGGCAGCAGCTGGTCCGACAGGTCCTCTCCGTGTCCTAGGCAGCCGCGGCCGCCCTCGCCCCAGGCATAAACAGCGCCATCGACCGTGCGGGCGAAGTTGCGGTATGCTCCCGCCGACACAGCGACGACGCGCTGCCCAGCAAAGGCCTCGACCTTCTTGGGCAGCGGCTGGATCTGCTGGTCGCCGTGGCCCAGCTTGCCGTAGTCTCCGTCGCCCCAGCTCCAGACACTGCCGTCGGCGGCGAGAGCGAGGCTGTGGCCGGCTCCAGCCGACACAGCGACGACGCGCTGCCCAGCAAAGGCCTCGACCTTCTTCGGTAGCGGCTGGGTCTGCGTGTCGCCGTGGCCCAGCTGGCCAGAGACTCCACTGCCCCAGCTCCAGACGGCGCCGTCGGCGGTGATGGCGAGGCTGTGCACATCTCCAGCGGACACGGCGACGACGCGCCGCCCAGCCAAGGCCTCGATCTTCGTTGGCAGCAGCTGCTGCTGCCGGTCGCCGTGGCCCAGCTCGCCCCAGCCTCCATAGCCCCAGCTCCAGACGGCGCCGTCCGCAATGATGGCGAGGCTGTGGCGCTGCCCAGCCGACAGTGCGACGACGCGCTGGCTAGCAAAAGCCTCAATCTTCTTGGGCAGCAGCTGCTGCTGCCGGTCGCCGTGGCCCAACTGGCCAAAGGTTCCCAATCCCCAGCTCCAAACGGCGCCGTCGGCGGTGAGAGCGAGGCTGTGCGCGTCTCTAGCCGACACAGCGGCGACGCGCCGGCTAGCAAAGGCTGCGATCTTCTTCGGCAGCAGCTGGTCCTGCTGGTCGCCGTGGCCCAGCTTGCCAAAGCCTCCATCGCCCCAGCTCCAGACGGCGCCGTCAGCGGTGAGGGCAAGGTTGGACCCGGCTGCAGCCGACACGCTCACGGCGCGCTCGCCGCCCAGTGGCGACGGGAGGCGGGTCGGCGTGTTGAGCCGCGTCACGCCCTCGCCGTGGCCAAGGACGCCTGCGACGTGCTCCTCCGAGCCGCACGACGAGAGCCGCCCCTCGCCGTCGATGAAGACGCTGTGCCGTCCGCCTGCCGCCGCCCTCGCCGGCGGGTTAAACTCGCACAGCAACGCAGCGAAGCACAGCCACCGCACGGGGCAGCCCTCGCCCTCTGGCTGCGCCGGCAGCTCGAAGCCGCGCTCTTGCGCCCACAAGCGGATGGCCTCCGCCGCGAGCGAGGCGTGGAAGAGCAGCGAGACGGCGGCGACGCGAGCGATGTCGAGGGGGCTGTCGCAGCGAGAGAGGACGCGCTCGAGGAGGTCCGTGGGTAGGTCGAGCAGGCGGGCGGGCGGCGGCGTGTCCGGCGAGGGGGCAGCGGCGGAGGAGGCGGTGGCGAGGCGGCGCGAGCGGCGGCGCGGCGGGGCAGACATCGCGAGAAAAAGAATTCCGGCGGGCAAAAGAATTCCGGCGGTTGCTGTCTCTCTTCGAGGAGGAAAAGAGCGCCTGGCTCGATTTCTTTTCGCGCGCTGTAAAGAGGGCGCCCCTTCCCGCACCTTACTTCGCGCCGCCACTTCTTGGGACTTGAAGGCAGCCTCGATACACGGCGGCTGTTGCGGATGGTTCTCGGTGCGTGCGCGCACACGCCCCTCTGTCTCGGGCGCGGTCTCGCGCTTGCGTGTGCAACCGGCGGACGCCGCGAGGGCACACAGGAGGAGGATAGAGAGCGGCATACACACACACGGTGAGGGCCACAAAAGGCGAGCCGCGTTGTTGTGGCCGCGCCGTCTGAGGCCCAACGAGGCGTATGCATTGCCCATTCAGGGCTATCACCTGGACCCATCAACAGGCGCCTGTGGCGCCGTGGTCACGAGGTGTTGTTCACACCTGCCCAACCATTCATGCAGCACAGTACCCGGTACCTATGTAGCGGCCATTATATTACCCAAAAGCTAGGCTACACAACGCCCTCTATGTTGGGTCAAGGCGGGCGCCTAGAAGAAAGCGCCGCCCCCCGAGGGGGAATCCCACCCGTACCCCGAGCCCCCGTCGAAGAGCGCGTCGAAAGCGTCGTCGCCTTCGTCGTACTCCTCCGCGTCAAAGCACCGGACCGGCTCCCCCCGGCCGTGCTCCCTTGCCCAGCGCATCTGCCGAACATGCGCACGCTGCTCCTCGCGCGCCATCTCCTCCGCGGCGCGCGGCGTCCACCCGGTGGACGCCAACAGCGACTCGAGCGTCGCGCGATAAATCGCCTCGCCTTCCTCGCGTGATACCACCTCGCCCGCCTCCTTCGCCACCGCCTTCTTCCCACGCCGCGATAGCTTCTCGCCGCCCTTGCTCGCCAGCGCCGGCGATGCCGTGGCGCGCCCACCGCGCCCGCGCGCCCGCGCCTGAAAGGTAGCCCTGCCGTGCCCGACGTCCCCCCGCGCCCGAAGGATGACCCGCGCCTCCTCCTCCGTCACGGGCGTCTCGCGACCCCCTCGCGCCTGGAGGATAGCCCGGGCCTCCTCGTCCGTCACGGGCATCTGCGTCCTGTGCTGCAGGGCAATCCTCAGCGCCCGGACGCGCTTGTCCTCCTCGGCCGTGGCCGCCGCGCTCGCCTCCGCCGCCCCAGAGCCCCCTCCTGCCACCGCCTCCTCCGCGTCCGCGCCGCTGTAAGTAGAATCCGAAGCTCCGGCGGACGCAGCAAGTGGCTGCGAACTGTGCCCGGTGTCGGTATGGCGCGTCGCTGAAGGATCGGCAACAATTAGGGTCTTCGGAGCGCGGCGGCCCGCCTCGGCGGCGGCAGCGGCGCCCTCCACCTCCTCCTCCCCCCCCGCGGCGGCGATCGTCCCATCGCCGCAAGCCGGCAGCGCGGGCGCCACGGGGTCCATATAGGCCCCCGGGGCGCCGCCTCCGGTTCCGCCTTCCGCGGCCTGCGCACTGCAGGCGCCGCTGTCCGCCTCTTTGGGGCGCGCGCCGCCGCGGCCCTCGCCGCCAGCCGCGGCCCCGCCGCCGTGCTCCTCGCCAGCGGAGCCACTCCCAGCTCCGCCGCGGGGGCCGCTTGCGGCAATCGCATGCCCGTCTGCGGCACGCGCGGCACCCTCGGCAGCGTCCGTACCGCCGCCGCCGCCAGCGCGCTCGCCAGCAGCACCATCGCCGCCGGCCATCGCGCTGCTGCCCGCCTGCGCGCCAGTCGCAGCCCCAAGCGGGGGCTCGACCAGAGACAGGGAGGCAAAGGACGACAAAGCTGCCTCAGCCGCGTCGCAGCTGTTCAGGGCCGGCAGGCAGCGGCACAGCTGACGTTGCACGGTCTTGCCGAGGCCGAGCCCCTCGAGGCCGTCCTCGGCGACCGCCTCGAGCAGCGCCGCGACGTTGCCGACGTCCTGGGCCAGCAGCTGCGGCACCACTTTACCGGAGACGAGCGCAGAAACGCGCGCCCGCTCCAGGAGGGCCGCGATATCCTCGTCGAGATCGATGGACGGCCGCGAGGCCGCCATCACCGTGGCGCCCGGCCGCGCGGCCCCGGGCTGCGGGTCTGTGCTCGCCGGCGGCGGTGGAGCGAGAGCAGGGAGCGAGCAGTCTTGGGCGCCACGGCGCCTTTTTTTGCTAGACGGCCATCGAGGGTGGGACTGAGTTTGCCAATGCCCCGGCCTCGACGACGCCGACAGAACCTCCTCGGTGTAGACGACGGCGGCCTGGTGCACGTCGGCAACGCGACGATTGACGCGGCGCTCACCCAGTGGCTTTCGGCGAGGTACACACAATTCACTGCTACGCCGCTCCACTCACTGCCGCGCCTCTCACTGCTACATGGCCGTACCGGAGCCCCCTCGCTTCCCCAGCGCCACGCCTCTCACTGCTACACGGTGTACCGTCGCGAGCTGCCTCGCTTCCCCAGCGATCGCTCTCTCGCGACACGCGCATCTTCGATTGACACGCTGGGCCGTCCCGCAGGCACGGCTCCCTGAAGTGCGACTATGACTCTACGCCAGTCTACTTTGCGCCGATGTCGCCCAACGGGATCGGCAACAAGGTCCTCGCCCTGACGATGTCCTTCCACCTCGCACTCATGCAAGGGCGCGCCTTCGTGGTCACCGACTGGCCTCCCGCGACGCTTCCGACCTCGTACCCGCTGCATGAGGTTGTCCGACCGTCCGCGTGCCAAGCCCTCTTTGACGAGGACCAGCGCGGGCGGCCCCCGATCGCGAAGAGCACCATCCGGTGGAGCCCTCTCACCACCGCCAGCCGCTTCAAGCACTCCTTCACACAGCCGCACTGTGAAGAGTACAGCTGTGAACAGTACAGCTGTGAATAGGCACGCATTCACACAGCCGCACTGGTGCCACCAGTCCACACGGCTCCTCGAAGTGCCGCCCGAGTGGGCGAGCCGCGTCTCGTGGCTGCAGTGGTGGCGCGCGCTCACCCAGCACCTCTACTCGCCGGGCCGCCGCCTCGCCGCGGGCATGGCCGCCACGCTCCGCGCCGCATCGCTGCTCCGCTCTCCGGCACCTCGAGCCGGGGCAGGCCGCGAGGAGGCGCCGCTCTGGGTCGCCCCGCCGCCTGCCGCTGGCGACCCGGCTGGCGGAGAAGCGAGCGACTCCCCCGCCTCCTCCTCCTCCGCCGCCGCCGCCGCCGCCGCTTCCTCCTCCTCCTCCTCCTCCTCCTCCTCCTCCTCCTCCGCCTCCGCCGCCTCCGCCGCCTCCGCCGCCTCCCGCCGCGCCCCCTTCCACGCCGCCTTTTCCGATGGCGTGGCGGCGTGGAAGGCGGCGGTGCGCCGCCCCCTCGTCGGGCTGCATGTGCGGCTGGGCGACGGGTGTGGCGACGCCAAGCGAGGCGGCTGCAAGTACGTCACCTCCTTCGCCGGCGCGGTGGCGCGGCTGCGCGACGCGGGCATCACCGGCGGCAGCCATGCCCCTCGCCACCGACAGCGCGCGGCTGCCGTGAGATAGTGGTTTCGAGTGGTAGCTGTTCATGGTTAGGCACACTCTTCCTCGCCACCGACAGCGCCGCGATCGCGGCGGCGGCAGTCTCGGGGGTGATCGAGGGTTTCGAGGTGCTGATGCTGCGCGAGGACCTGCAAACTACAGTTGCTATGAACTACCACTCATCGCCACACACTGATTAGGTGCTGATGCTGCGCGAGGACCGCGCCGCCATCGACAAGTCGCACCGCAAGAACGAGCGGCGGAGGGAGGGTGACGAGATGCTGCACTTGCAGCTGCTCGACCTCGCACTCCTCTCCCAGGCGAGATCGCGCCGAGATCGCTCGAGATCAGTCGAGGTCGACCGAGGTCGTGCGAGGCTGATTGTGACTGGGCCTCGCAGGCGGACGTGCTGGCCGGCTCCTTCGCCTCAACCTTCATCAAGGTCGCGCTGCAGCTGGGTTCGGCTCGCATGTACGTCTCTCTCGACACCTTCCCGTGGTGCCCGCTGCTGCGCTGCTACTGGACATGGCGCGACCTCTGCCACAACTGCGAGGTGTGATCTCCCCATATCTCCCCACATCTCCCCACATCTCCCCACATCTCCCCTCATCTCCCCCCATCTCCCCCCATCTCCCCCCATCTCCCCCCATCTCCCCCCATCTCCCCCCATCTCCCCCCATCTCCCCCCATCTCCCCCCATCTCCCCCCATCTCCCCCCATCTCCCCCCATCTCCCCCCATCTCCCCCCATCTCCCCCCATCTCCCCACATCTCCCCACATCTCCCCACATCTCCCCACATCTCCCCACATCTCCCCACATCTCCCCCCATCTCCCCAGTGACCTCTGCCACGACTGCGAGGTGTGCGCCAACCAAGCGGGCGGCGGCGAGGCATGCTTTGACCGCGGGTACCACACCGCTCGCGGGTTCGAGAGGCAGACCAGAGTCGCCTCGCTGGAGCGGCGCCCCTTTGCCGCCTTTGTGTCGCTCCTCGGCCCCTCCTCTCGCTGCCCGCACCTCTCCCGCCACCCGCTCGCCGACACCGCCTACGCCGCGCCCGTCGTCGGCGCCTCCTTCGCGCCTCGCGTCGCCTCGCCGCCGCGCGACGTCTGCAGCTCGGGGCGCGGCCCGGACGGCTGCCGCTGCGGCTTTCGGCGGCTGCGCGGCGTGGACAACGCGGCGGCCGCGCGCCGCAAGCCCTTCTACGGTTACGGGGTGGCGAGGGTGGTTTGGGCGGCGGGGGAGGAGCCGTCGCTGGCTGCGTGCGAGGCACGCTGCTGCGACGAGCCAACCTGCCACTCGGTGACGTACGACCGGAACAGCTCCGCTTGCACCGCCGGCCTGGCCATTGCCCACGGCGAGTGATCTCCCCATATCTCCCCACATCTCCCCACGGCACTGCCGGCCTGGCCATTGCCCACGGCGAGTGATCTCCTCATATCTCCCCATATCTCCCCACTGCACTGCCGGCCTGACCATTGCCCACCGCGCGCGGCCGACTGGTGCTGGAGGCCGAGATCAGCCGAGATCGCCCGAGATCAGCCGAGATCGCCCGAGATCAGGCGCGCGGCCGACCGACTGGTGCTGGAGGCCGCAGCTGGCGGCGCCGACGACGGTCACCTCGCTCCGGCTGCCGGGCGGGTGGGAGGAGGAGGCGCTCGCGGCGGCGCAGCGGGTGCTCAAGGGTGGGCGGCTCGTGCGGCGCGGCGGCCGGCCGCAGGGCGCGCGCCACTTCCGCAAGAGCTGGCGCGAGATCACCCGAGACCACCCGAGATCACCCGAGATTAGGCGCGCGCCTCTTCCGCAAGAGCTGGCGCGACCCGGCGGGGCACACGCACCCGCTCGAGCGATCGCTCACTCCGCGGGGCTGCGGCGAGGGGAGGGGAGGGGCGAGGGGCGCCCGCTGGCGGGAGGCCGTCCCCATCTCGGACCTGCTCGCCGACGCGATCCCGCACTTTGACCCGCGGCCCGGAAAGGGGGCGGCGCCAACGCAGGAGCCGGCCTGCCCTGAGCCGGCCGCGGGCGGCGACGGAGCGGAGGGACGCGCTTCAAAGTAGGGAGTGTGCACGTGCCACGTCAGTGGTCAGAACGCCGCTCAGCATTCAGCAATGTGTATCGCGCGCCTTGCGCGTTGTGGGGGGGGGGGGGGGGGCGCGGAAATAAGAGGAACCTCTTAAAGGAGCGGGACACAAGCGCGGGTTCTGGGTCCTCTCTCCCCTGGGCCCCCCGGGGCCTGTGCTGTCCCTTACCTTATCTTGCCGGC